TAGGGGATACCGCGGAAAGGAAACGAGCTCGCCAAAAACTGGTTCCAGCGGGGGATTTAAGGGCGATCGGCGCGGAGAACATAAATCCGCGCTTTGTTGAGATCGAGTCGAGATTAATCGGGCCCCGAGTCGAGCTGACTGCACGGAGAGCAGATAATGTCGCTGGGTCCTACATTATATTGAATTATATCGGCTCGGCGTCGCTCGGTGTAAGTGTTCACGTACACACCGCACCGTCGATACTTTTTGTTTCTGCGCTCGGGAGCCGCGAGGAAGCTTTGTCGGCCCCGGAATCGTCCTACCCGGGACTGCTCGACATCTTCATTTTTCTATCTTTTGCTTTCGGCCATCACCCCTGATAAGCCCGCCGAGCAACTTTCTTTCCACGTTTTTCTTGAAACCTTCGATCGCGTTCCTTTGATGTTGTAGTGATGTATCGTACATTGGAATCGAATCTGCGTGGTGTTTTTCTATTTGGAGCTTTGTCTTTAAAATATTTTAGATGTATCCAGAAATTTGATTAAATTAAAAGTGAAATAAGAATTTTATTACTTCTTGGTAACTGAGTTGCTTTAGTTTTTGACAGATGAAGATAGACAATGAGTGTTTGAAATTCTATCTAATTTGTTGGTATATTTTTCTAAAGTTAATTAGAATCGTATGAAGATTATTCTAATTACGACAGACGCTTGATTCGTGTAATTGAATATTTTTACTAGGAATAGTACAAAACAGAGAAGGGAAGGGGAGACTTTATTGCCGTCACGCATCCGTGACCCATTAACCTGATCATTTTTCGACCATGAATTCCCATACGTAGAGGGGAACGATAAGTATCTCAAGCAGTTCACCCCACGTTGAATACAATTGTAATTTCATTTACATTTCTACAGATATTATGTTACATTTTAATACCATAGCTTCTAGATGAGTAAGTCAGAAGCGTAGAAACGAAGCGGAGATGAAGATAAACGCAAGTACCGTGTATGTACATTCGTCATCTCCAGTTAACAAGTTAATTAGTATCTATTAGGTTGTAACATAAATAAGTTCGGTTGGATTTGTAAGCGTATTCGAATGCTGAGAATTCACACGTGATTCATTGAGACTGCACACAAATAACTAGCACTGCTATCTTATTGCTTAGCAAATGTAATAAGTATTTACGTTAAGATATAATAATTAACCTCGTGGCTTACAATATTCTGTAAAACTTGTTTTGAAATTTTCACATTCTATTTACTAAATATGAATATTAATTCTGTATTTAACATAAGAAATTAAATTCTATTTCTTTCTTATTAATACTTAATAATGAAAGTAGATACAATTCCGTTGAAAATACAGAAACTCTTGCCATTTTAGCTAATTATTAAAAACAAACTAGTTTTGGTAAGTGCAGTTGCAAAAAGAAACACTTCCTAAAATTGACTTCACACGAACATTTCTTAAAACTGATTTCACAAGAAGTCTCACATAAATTCAGAAACGAAACTATTTTATTTCAATATTTTACACATCGATGCATCACACAAAGTTTAACATTAAACATCAAACTTTATAATCTTCCTATATCGAATCAAGCAGTGATTGAGTCAACTCCCGAATGGGCTAATACACGAGTCCCCCCGTAGCCAGCCAAGAAGTCAACGAACAACAAAGAGAGGTGAAAGATAAACACAAATGACGAGTACATTCGTCATCCCTGGTTAACAGGCTAATTGAACGGTATCTAGTTAACGGGAATGAGGCGCAGTGTAGACCGTACAGGAATAATGAAGCTTCAGCCGGCTAATAAATATCAGCGAAGGGTTAATCGCAGCCGCTACCCAATAATTCCCTTTAACGCCGTTAATCTGCCTCTGTGCCCCGTAACCCCTTCCCGGCTGCACAGTCAACGCGCGTATGCATCATCTATGCATCGATGTACGCACATCTCATTCGGGTCCATTAAACACCGTG